GATGCATTTTTTGGAAGAGTCTCTTTCATTGAGAAAAAAATAAAAAAATAAAATGGTAAATAAGTTATGGCAAACATGTGTTCTTGTAAGAGTATAAAAAAGGGTATAAGATATTGTATAATTTTTGTATCATGATTTCTTTTAATAATACGTTTCAATTAACTGTCGTATTGGATACCAATTTTCCTATTTTGCAAGCATGATTTGAAGCCACGGTGTTGTTGAATAACTGGGATTGAATCAAATGGTCATTTTTACATAACAGGTTTTAAATCGTTTTCACTAAAATTCCACACAGAACATTTACCAAAAAAAAAAGAAAAAAAGAAAAAAAAAAGAGAAACGATTTAAGTAACTTGCAGTTCAACTGTGAAACACTTGAAAAATTGTTGTAATTTGAGTGTTTTTATACCTAGCAAAAAGTCTAGAACACATTTATGGGCATTTTTTAATTAAATTTTAATGTTACGACTCATCATATTTAAAATTCGCATCTATTTATATATCTATCTATTTTAAATAAAAAATGTGATTAAGATTTGAACAACTAATTTCTTCACATCTCAATAAGGTTTATTTTTACAGCTTTAAAAGTAAGATCTTCAAAAATCATATGTATGGTTGCACCCATAAATTCACACATGGAGCACTCACAACATGGGGTACAAAAACAATATGAACACACAGAATACCTGTCAAAATCTTGAATGATTAATTTTGTATATATATAAATATATATATATATATATATAAGGGTTGCTAGATGATGAATTCAACTCAAACCAGAGATTCAGCATGTTTTGCAAATTTAATTGTTGTTGTGTCATGTCTGTTCTAAAAGTTACTTTGAATAACATAAGTCAAATTGTGATAAAACATGCCATGTTGTGTTAAGTTCTCTTAAATGTTGTCTATCAGCCTTTGCTTTTTGATTAATTTCTGATGGCAAGACTATGAATGGGTACAAGAATTTAACTTTTGTCATAAATAAATTATCAAACATTGATCCACGATTAAAATTGACTTGGATTGTGTTTAGAACGAGAACTTGAACCATCTTTATTTATCCAATTATACTTCAAAAATCCTTCTTATGATTGAATTATCATCTCCATGATTTCCATGTAACCATATCGTGATTGTGTAATTTAGCATAAAGATGAGAATTTGTATATTTTAGAGTATTTTTTAAAATTTATCTTTTATTGTTTCCAGACATTTGAAACAGTATCATTCACTTAATTAAAATTGAGTAATGCAGTGAACGAATTTTATAAAAAGGAAAACATTTGTAGTGTTATTTGAATCATGTACTTAGTAGTATAAAAATATGATACAATACATATTATGAAATACTAAACTGTCTTTTCATAAAATTCGATATATGTCTTTATCCATAATTGATTTTTGTACCAATATTTTACATTCTACCATCAATATACACACACATGTATCTATGTATATATGTATTATTATAAAATATTAAATTTCATGATAATATATATTTTTGAAAATGATTTTTTGAAAATTAAATAATACATAATTCACAGTTGTGTATTAAGTGTAATGGTTCCTCTCATTATTCTTATCATTAAATTGGAAATATTGTAAGCTAGAAATACATGCATTTTGTTACTTTTTCTTTGTTTGCTTTCACATTATTTGAAAAAATTATGGGTTGAAATAAATAATTTTTAAAGCAAGAAACAAACAACTAAAACTAAATTATTTTTAATAAATTAATAAAATGTTCCACTATGTGCAAAAATTTCTTCATTGATTTTCATTGATTTTCGTTTTTTGATTTATTTAAAAAATATATAAAAATGCACATTTCAATCTGACATCCACACACACAAAATATTACAATTCAACATCTTTATTCTTCAGCCATTCCATGCAATTTGAACATGCTCTGAATGTACTGAAAATCTTTCATGTTTTAATATGTTATTCTCTACGTGATTTGACATGAATGCACAGTAAGTTGAGTCTTTCAATGAATCTAAGTCTTGATAAAAGGAAACACTTTACCCCCTTGAATCAAAAACTTAAAACACTATTGTTATTAAATGACATTGTAAAGGGATTTTGGACGAAAATATATCTGCACATGCACACACACACAGAAGTTGTAGATAGAAATACGAATCCTCGCATGAAAGAGAACCAAGGGGCATTGGATGAATGAAGAACGGAATAATGGGATGGATGAGGGGATTAATATGTACATCGAAAGTATGAGTTGCATTCATCCATTATCCAATGTGTTCATCCATCAATGCCCATCAGTGTGGGTTCCTTGCCTTCAATCATTGTCAATCAGTTTGGATGTGACGTGCAGGAACAGCAGACACAGCTCTGTGCCCTGCTCTGCCAGCCCCAATTGATGAACTCCATCCACTCCCCCTCCGCCTTGTATAACCCAACTTTCCATCCAACGAATGAAACATGTCCGAAGGGGGAACGAATGAAAGACGGGGGTGGGAGCTTTCTTCTGGAAGTTGAAGAATTGGAGAGAGAGATAGAGCCGTGGTGGTGTCGTGTCTGCGGTTGCGACGTACTCGGGGCCTGAAATGGCGTGATTAGGGTTTCGGTAACTGGCCTCTTTAACTCCACTAATCTCTACTTAGTTGTCGTGGAATTTTCCCAATTATAGGGGGGCCGAAGTATCATGAGCCTTCTTGATAAAACACACTCTGCTACGCGGAGAGGAGGGAGGGAGGCTGGCCAGCTGATTGAGTGGCGGTTTGTCAGAGGGGCATGTTATTTGGCTTGTTTTTTGAGCTGCCCTGCCAAGCCCATGTGTGTTATTTTTACTTCTCCACTTCTGCTTTCTCAATCATTCTCTCTCTCACTTAGTTCATATCTCCCTCTCTCTCCGTTTGTGCTTGTGTTTCATCTGCGTTCCAGACCGTTCCCGGTGCACATGGCTGGCACCACTGGCGCAGGCGGTGGCATGTACACTGAGAACCTGAACGTGCCCATGTGTCCACGTGAAAAACTGACTGCTGAAGCCCCAAGCCTTATTTTTTTTCTTTCCAGGGAAACCCAAAAATCCAAGTCTCTCTCAATAGCCCCCCCCCTTCTGCGCCCCACGTCGGGCCTCGAGGCCTTTTCAGCTGGCTCGAGCAAATTGGCTCTCCTGGGAGTCAACAATTCGTATTACATGCCGCCTCCAATCAGTTTACAGGGCTTTTCCGCACAACACTACAGAAATAAGTGGAAGAAGAAGTAGAAAATATAATTGAAGAAATAAAAAAGAAGAAAATAGACTACTGGTGGCTGCATGATTCGCCTTCTTTCTCACACCCCTGGATCAAACTTCCGATCTTAGAGAGTCCCTGAGATGGTGTTGTACCGTTGTTGGCTTGGGGCGTCGGACAGCCTGGGGTTTTGCCCAACATAGAAGAGCACGGGCTTGAGTGAACTAATCCAGACAGCGTAGGGTTCATTTAAAGAAATGTGCACACCGTGGCGACGCAAAGCCACTGGCCCAATTTTTGCACTGTTCTTCGACGTTCCCACGACGACATTACTTCGCACGGGGATCAAGCCGTCGCAGAGTGTTGCGATTTGCACCCATCCCCTCCCTCTGTCGTTGCGCTGGTGGATCTTCCGTGTCCCCTCTTAGCCTCTAAAACCAGCCCACCGCTTCGCCGAAGCTTATCTACGGTCGATTCAGTTAACTTTGTCGGTGGGTTAGTGGAGATTTCGGGCACTTAGGCTAAATTAGCCGAGGTGGGATGAACGAGGACGAATGTACGTGTGTGTCTTAATTGGTTTGATCATTGGGCACTTATTATGATGTAATTGTTACAGAAGAAGTCACCTCCTTTGCCTCCAAAAGGCATGAATGAGTGACTGAGTGAGTGGGGAGGAATGTTTTTGGGCTGCAGTTTACCACGCAAACGAATGTCATTCTTTCGACAAGGACATTAACCTAGAACTTGATGGAGGAAGTGATATTACTCAACATAGGAAGGAAATTTCACAAAAAGTGTACCCATCTACTCCTCATTGGGATGATTCCATGGCGTGTATAAGCATCCACCTAACGTTGTTCACATTCACCTTGTGAGAAGAAGAAGAAGGAGGACAAAAACAAGAACTATGAAACAATTTATTTATTTATTTATTTTAATTTTTCATGGTAATCTGCAACACATCCCAAGTTTCTCAAAGCAATTTTTAGTTTTTAGTTTACTCAATTTTTTTTGTTTCTGACCGAAAGAGAACGTGACCGTAGTTTTTTTAGATTTAGGGACTTCAAACGAATCCAAAAACGGAATCTTTGTGGGTGAAAACACATACACACACACACACATTTATGTATATCTGTGTGTTTGTTTTCAAAACGTTTGGCTAAATTGTTGCGTAAGTGTAGGCCTTGAAAAAGTGAGTGAGGTGTTTCTAGGCAAGATTTCTCCATGGTTTTCATTGATGACAGAGCTTCCTTGGGTCCAACTCAACAAAAGCATGATTTCATAAAAGAGTTTACCAACAAACGACCCCCAAATCAGGAAGGGCATCCCCCCTCCCATCACATCAGCCCCCTTGCCATGGACCAAACCCTGTTATAGAAGACGGTGTGTTATCGCTTCACCAACCAGGTGTGTCCAGTTCCCCGTTTCCTCTCCCCGGGTATCAATCCTTCGTGGTCGGCGCTCGTCCGTGTGCATGCCAGCCATTATGTGAATAATCCCCTCCCCGAAATAATTCCGGGAAGCATCAAAGGGGAGGTAGGATCCACTGTACCGGGTATCAACCCGAAACAATCCCTTGCCTCGTTCTCAAGCTTCCATCGTCCAACGATGTTGTCGGCTACGTACGAAGTGAGGCCGACGGAGCCGCAGGAAATTAAAAAAAAAGAAAAAATGAAAAAGGTTCCTGAAAGGTAAAAGCTAAGGGAGGGACGGGGAAAAGGTTCGCGAAGCTTTTTTCCAGGCTCTAGTTGGCTGTTAGCTGGAAGGCGCGGAGTGTCGTTACCCGAATTGGCAGGCTCGTCTCGGCAGTTCAGGGCGAGGTGGAAAATCGATGCGCTAGCAGGAGAGAGGTGCTTGCAATAGTTATAGAGAGCTCTCGGCGTTCTTTCGGATTCATGATCACGCGCTTTGCAGCAGAGTCCCTGGGGCCACCATTCCTGTCCGTCGAGTGCTGTCGAGTCTTGTTGTTGTGCATGCAGAGCGAAAAAAATAAGCAGGAAATTGATCGCCTGTTTTTTTGGCAATTCGAGTGGTTTATGGGAGGATTTTTGTAGAGTATAGGTGCGGCGAAAGGGAGAGTGTGAAGGCAGTGGGGAAGGTGACGGGGAGGAGTGTAGGAAGGGTAAGAGAGAGAGAGAGAGAGAGAGAGAGAGAGAGTGTGTGTGTGTGAGAGAGAGAGTCTGTGGTTGAGTGCGCGTTGGCGAGGGGAAGAGTGGAGAGCTGTGTAACGCCTCGAGGCAAAGAAAAAAAGGAGCAGCAAAGGGGGAGTAGTAGTAGTGTTGTGTGTGAGGAGATTTGGAGTGTGTTGAAGGACGGTATAGGAAATCATCGTCGTGTGCCTGCACATCCTGACGCGATTTCACACCTGTCTGAGCTCTAGCATGTACTTGATGCTCTCTTGCATTCTTCTTTTCCTCGCCTGCCATCAAGCTGCAGCACACTTGTATTGTAGTACCTCTTCCTACACTCTGTTTCCTCTCCACTCAAATAGACCAAAGGTCCGTGAGTTTTTGCGTCCTGCTGGTTTTTTCCGGAATTTTTCGAACCAATTCCTCAGCTCACACGAGGTCTCATCATTACTACACGAACTTCACATTTTGCACCTGAACTTGAAAAATAGAGTTCTTTACAATTTCACAATACATGCAATCCAGAAGAAAGCAAATAAATCAAACGTTGCGGTAGAGAGTCATCTTTGAAAGTGAAACTTCCAGCCGTTTGACAGGGTTGTAGACTCATCTTTTTGTTGGAATTGACGAGGCACCGAGTCGAAGTAAGAGGCAATGTTGTGTCGAGGAATGAGAAGAAATCATTGAGAGAAAGTGAGACAGTTTTTGTTTTGAAGTTTCGAAATTTGCTCTTCGACTCACTTCAAGCAGCTGGAGGAAGGTAGAGCGCAGAAGCTTATCGCGCTGAAGAAATAAATCAAATAATGCTGGCCAAGTTCTCGACTATAAACTGCTGAGCAGCCGACTTTAGCTCATTGATTTGTAAGGTTTTAGTACCACGGGAATTGGAAAGAACTAACTTCGTTGGTGCCGCGAAAATGGTAGCTCCGTATGTTCTTGCTGGTTCCTACGGCATTCTTCTTCCGGAGGTTGACAAGCCGGCTCTGCCAGAGGTCTTCCACATTGATGACCTGTTGGACTTTAGTTGTGAGGAGATTGGAGGTCCCATAGTTGGAGGAGAGATGCAACTCTCTGGCGTGACGGACGAGAGCTCTGCGAATGGAAGCGAGACAAGCATTTCTTCATCAGTGGAAGTGAAAAGCGAGCTTGTTGATACGTCTCTGGGGGGTATGGAAGTGAAGACAGACCTCTGCGTGCCTGTAAGTTTAAAATTTAGTGTTCCTCATGCTTTAATGCGAGTTGTCTAGTTACGACAGCACATATCTTTGACATATTTTATTTGATTTTGGTATTTTCCTCTCTCTCTCTCTCTCTCTCTCTTCCTGGTAGACCTCGCGAGTACTTGTTTCACTTTTCGAACATGGCTCGCAGCGTGTTGTCTGTGCACCTCAATTATTACATTACCAACCTAATTCTAGTTTCTGTAGTCCTTGACCCGCAGTATGTAAATGCTGAACCACTGTTTTTGTTTTGTTTGTTTAGTTTTATTTCTATCAACATCAAGCGATTGTATCTCATCATGGTTGGTAGAGTGGAGTATTGAGAGCAATTTCGTTGTCATCTAACGACTAGTATTATAATTTATAGGTGGTTTCGAAATGTTACAATGCAATGTCAACTGTCTACAACTTACATATTAGATTTTGAATGGCTCTCAGATAGGACGGGGCTCTCCCTTGATTCTTCAATTGTGTTGCATATGTCTGAAATTTGAAATTGTCTCACACAGCATTCACATTGTATAGGTTTGTGCCTTTCTACTCATGGAAACATCAGTACTGAAAGAGCATTGATGCGCTTTTGAGAATGACAATGTGTACTCGAGGACTCACGCTTTTCTATGCCCTTGTTGCCTAAAATTTTCACACCGGTATTTTTAGAGCTAATAAAAAATATTTATTTTTTGTGCAGTGTGATGATCTTGCCGACCTTGAGTGGCTGTCATCGTTCGTGGAAGACTCTTTCACAGTTGTCGACCCCCCAGAGGTTTTTTCAGCATACGATGGCTTCTGCTCTCAAGTAAGTAACACCGAACGGACACAAATCGCGAAGATTTGCAACGACTACAAGCCGTATCAGAAATCAAGCCCGATCTCAGTCTTGGAGACTAGTGCTACTTCGTCTGAACTCACTGGATCCGATTACCTGGATGTATCCGTACCTGGGAGAGCACGAAGCAAAAGGTCAAGGACAGGTGCAAAGGTTTGGACATCAAGAATTCTACCCACCAGCTCCTCTGTGAATAGCCTCGAATCGATGGGAGCCGACTCGTACGCCATGTCTTACTCGCCAATCATGTCAGACGATGGTTCTGGCGATAGTACGGTGGGTGGCATTGAGCAAGACGACGAGGACTCACAAGGGTCTAAGCGTTGTAAGCTGAAGAACGACGGTAATGGTCCGAATGAAAGTAAGAACAACGTGACCGTAAACGTTCACAGTAATGCCAGCAAAGGGAGAAAGAAAAATCAAGACAATTCGCAGCCGTGGCGGTGCATGCATTGCCAAACTCAGCGCACACCGCAGTGGAGGACAGGGCCCATGGGACCCAAGACATTGTGCAATGCTTGCGGGGTGCGGTACAAGTCGGGAAGGCTGCTTCCGGAGTACCGACCTGCGGGATCTCCCACTTACGTGGCGTCGAAGCATTCCCATTCGCACAAAAAGGTGCTGGAAATGAGGCGAGAGCGAGAGTTGCGGATTCAGCAGACGGGAGGGCATGGGGTGCAGCAGCAGCAGTCCATGCACGGGGCAACACCGTTGCGGGGGAAGACGAACAACCAGAAGGTGGCGGGAGCGAAGAGCTCGAGTGGGGAGCACGTGAAATCGGAGTATGGAGGTGGGTATGGATCGAAGAATTTGGAGACAATGCAGAAGAGTTTCTCGAAGCCGATGGAGATGCCTCGGCCTGGGAAGCCTGAGATGATGATGTACGCGAGCAAGGCATCGGGGATGGAGTTTGCGAAGTGTTTGACGAGCACGACAGCGGTGCTTGGGTCTCGGTTGGAGTTCGGGTTGGATGACAACAGCATGAGGGAGATGAGGGGATTGTAAAGCCCTAGTAGGACAACAACGATCTGGAAATTCAACAAAAAAAACAAAAAACCAAAAAAACAAAAACACTAAGCCGGGTGAATATATTCTTTTGGGGACCTTATGAAGAGACTTTGTACATGGGAAATAGTAAGAGGCACAGCAAGTGGCTTAGGAGATCCAGAACCCCGTACTAGTGCCGCCCCTCAGCCCCACTCCCCCTTTGATTTTGCTAGAAGGAACATACTGAACGGAACGGCAGGAGTGTACTTCGTTGTGGAATTCACAATGTCTTGTAGATGATAGGTACAGGAGGCATCTCTCTGTCAATGCCTTTGTAGCAGCAGCAGACACCAACGTCAAATGAATTCGTGATTTTGGGTCTATACTTTTGAAAGTGCTGATTGTAATTTATTCTCCTTCCTCTTGCATACCTCGATGTTGCAATTGAGGCGGATATGTGTATGATGTTACCCACACAGATTCAATGTTAACCATTCTTTTCAGTTTCCCGTCGGGTTCGCGGCGTATTCCCTTCGCAGCGCCTCTATGGTGCACTCTCTCTCGTCTGGTCCGCTTTTTTCCCATTCTTTTCTTCTCATACGTCACAATTGCGCAAGATTATAGGTGCACTGTGACGAGCTGAGAGTGTAGCAGCCACACTGAATCTGAAACCCACCTTGTGGCTTCTACTACTGAAAGAGCAAGACCTGGAGTGGGTGGTGACGATGAGTCAGAACGTGGAACCGTCGTGTTTGTCTTCGATTCCAGAGCATCAACGCCTCCCCAAGCCCACTTCACCTACAGTTCTCGTGGTTGCGAACTGGCAGAGTCTGTTCCCTCCCCCCACTAGACTGATGATGTGCTCTTATGGGCACTCTTACATTCTCCTGCCCCACTCATGTTCTCACCTGGCCGCGCTCATGTGCACAACAGGATCGGGCGAGGCCCACCCCCCATCTCCGACACCAGTTCCAACACAACCCCAAACATGTACTTCATGTGGGCAGAGACTGGGCCAATGCATCAAGTTCTATCCTTTATGATTCCTCTGACTGGTTTCTTTCAGAAGGCTGCAGGCTGTCGGTCTGCTATAGCTGCATTCGACTCAGCTGAACTTCATTGTAAGAAGCAAAACTGTGTTACGACGGGCGGTGGTGGAGGTGGCCGATTCCTCGACCTGGGTCGGCCGACTGAGACTTGAATGAAACGCAGCGAGGAGATTTATTGTCAGGGTGCAGGGGGACGGGTAGGGTCGGGTCGGGTCGGGTGATTCGCCAGTTTCCATGAGGCTCTCCCTGCCCTTGGGCCATCCTGCCCCTTTGAAACCCAATAATGGAATTCAACAATCCTGGCCCTGCTGCTGCTGCTCTGGGTGAGTTGCCCACTTCCGCTTCTTTTTGCCCTGCTTGTGGAATAATGAGCGGCACCAGTTGGCAATTTAATCGATTGGTGGAGGGGTTCCAATCACAGGAAGGAAGGGGGGCTGGCCTTCACCGGACTGGGTTGTGGTCCCGAGTTCAGGCTCCATTATTTAGTATCATGTTGGATAATCCCAATAATGAGTCAAAGCTTATAGCTGTTGTGGTGTATATCACTTCACCCCTGTTGCCTGTCTCAGGTGGCTCACCACATGAAGAATGCTCCGCTTCCCTCTCTCTCTCTCTCTCTCACTCTTTCTCTTTCTCATCAAACTCTTTCCCTGCACATCTAACCATTTTGAAGGCAATCTAGTGAAAATCTGCAAAAAGCCTTTTTTTTTTTTTTTAAAAAAAACTAGTGTTCACACTTGTGTTCTTTCAGAGTTATGGAGCCCCCACTCTTATACACATGTACATATGTATGTACATATGTAGATGTGTACATGTACACAATTGAAACACTATTGTATTGTCTGAGACTTGCTGCATAATCCTTGGCATGCCATGATGTGTTATGTAGCTTGAAGTAGTGGTGAAGTTATATACACAACATGGCATCTAGCTTTGCAGCAAACAACTACGTCATATAACTCATCTTCTAATCATTTTCCATGGAATGGTGTTTTAAATAACTCACCAGTCACTGTATCACCATTTTATTCTATTTGTTTTTGTCATTGCTGTACAGGCCTTATAAAACAATCCTTTTGTGTGTGGCAGGGATTCTAGACAAAGGGACCCCCTCCTCATTGTTGCATAATTCAAGAGGCTTTGGGTTCTTTTTTTTAATGTTCCACAGTTCCCCTTGCACAACCTTCATGAAAAAATCTCACACACAAAAAAAGCTAGGGCCTGGGCTGATCTCACAAGAAAAAAATATAAATTTAAATAAACATATAATTAAAAACTGGTATTGAACCCCACATATACAGCATCTCTCAAAATTCTGTCTTTTGCAGTCCCTCTCACTCTTTTCTCTCTTTTTATTTTTATTTATTTATTTATTTCAATGGATTGGAGCTCAGACCTACAGGTCTTGTCTGGTCAATAATGTGGGCACCAGTACGCAAACTGAGTCTAGGTGGTGGGCCCTGTACTTCAGGTTGAAAGTAAGAATAACATTGGTTGCAATATATATATATATATATATATATATATATATACCTTTATATGAATACATAAATAAAACAAGTAAAGACAGATGCTTGCATGATGGCACAAAGACTTTCCCAAAGCCATGACCACAGATATATCTGTTGTAGATCAACTGATCAAAGTGTTACCACATCCCAAAAATGCCAAACAGCCACTTTAATCTAATAGTTTCCCATCACCTTCAACTTGCTGCAGATCTACTACAGCTAGTGAATGTATTGCCAAGGATGGCTGTAGATATGTGAGAGAGAGAGAGAGAGAGAGAGAGTGACAGGGCTTTTTACCCTCTACTCCAGGAAGTGTTGGAGAACAGCAGGAGCAAGCTCAAAGTTTTTATTCTTGATTTTATGGGATTTCTGGTGATTTTTTACTGTTTGAGCTCTGTAGCAATCATCTGAGGGTAGTAGGAGCTCTATTGTCCTGCCACAGTACATTAGGTTTCTTCACATCATGGGCTTCATTGTCAGTTTTTTTATACACCGCCCTTCTCACCATGACATGTCATGACAATCCTGTCAGACTCCTGCAAATGATGGTTTTACCGAGGCTCTCTGGAGGGTAAAAATTGGGTGTGGCCAACTTACTTGCTGCGTGTGTGAACAGTGTCACTATAGATGCGTACATTAATCTGGACTTGAGTATTTGTACATGGGAAGTTGGTGTTGCAGGCGATTGTCGGTGTCGTAGACGGTACCGACTATTCAGCGTCAAAGCACACTGTCCTCATCAAGTTCACTCGAACTGCGGGCCCCAGGGCAAACAATTTTTTTGAAATAAAAATACTCAAAAATAAAATTGATTGCCTGCAATCATCTGCATTCAGTTACTGTTGTGCAACTTCAATGCTTCCCATGGCAGGATTCTCATTTCGCTTAACTGGCACCTGACCCAGCAAAGAATCGGCGAAGCTCTCTTCGAGACGAAATGTTCAACCTCTCTTAAAGATTACAAACAGCTCTCTATTTTACTTTTTCTTTCTTTCTCTCTCTCTCTCTCTCTCTCTCTCTCTCTCTTTCACGACTTAGTTGGATTTCGTGGCAGGTGAGGAACTTGAGGGATTAACTAACCATGCTGTTATTCGTAGTAATTTCTGATAAGCAGGAGAATGATCACTCACTAATCAGGTTTAATCCAGAGTGTGGTCGATTAACTGGACAGAGTTGCGAGAGGTTAAAAAGGAAGGAAAACTAGATTACCGTAATATATTTCTGAAAACCCTTCCGAACGTGTCGCGTTCTTAAAGTTCATCGGTCACTTTAGCAGGCAAATTGAAGAGGTCAGAGCATCGAACTGTCAGAGATTCACAATTTTTTCTGCAGTCACCATTAACTTTTTCTAAGTGTAAGGAATCTCCAAGTACTTCTTGGCACCGAGGAATAACAAGTGACAATCTACGGGCAGCGCACTTGAGCTTGACATCTCAACTCCACTGCAGCTGAAAAGAAACCCTTTCGACAGTGTGGGTCTAGTATTTTAAGACCCTGAATCTTTTGACGGTGAGGTCGATGGCGACCTGGGGAAAGGACGTTTGTGCAGATGTGTCCCTGGAGGTGCCCAATAATAAGTGTAAATCTAAGAAGACGGGGGTTCGATGAACAGTTTGTCAGATTTTACAGTTCAAGCCACACCAAGAGCTTGCACTTATGCCAATCAACCAGGCAGGGGGTTTCTTACGGAACCGACACTGTGAATATGCTCCATTCATTGTCATGGTTAGAGAACCTTTGCTTACCAGTTCCAAGTTAAGGGTAAGAAAGGCATGTTTCTCTTCAACAACTCATTCTTGCTGTTGGCAAATACGTCGACAGAAACGGCAGAGTAAAAACAATTGAATCCTTGCACTAGCGACGTCTTCTATAATTTTCCTTGCCTGCAGCTGTAAAATACAAGATGTAGCCACTACCTCATGAAGCATGCAGTCATGCACAACATTGAGATTTGCATCAATGCTGCGGTAGTGGCTATTACGGGCGTATAAATAACATAAATGTTGTTTGCCCAACAACAAACGCACCATTACCATCGCAAATGTGTGAATAAATCAGGAATTCAACTAGTGAGCAGAAACTCAGCCTTTGGAGGGGTTTTCTTTTCAGTAGTTTCAAATACTAAAATTATTCCACAAACAATTGCGACTTCCAGTGGGGAGTTGAAATTTCTCCATGCCACACAGGAGAATTGTCATGGAACTTCAAGATGGAGTCTGACGCTGTACGGTTTAAGATTTAAGCGCTCAGAAGACGATGCTGGAGGTTTGAAAGACTTGCAGATAGGATTGCAAAGAATTCAAGAAAAGTCCAGAGTTCTTGAGATTGAGGCTTACGACAGCAAAGGGAGCTACGTAGATCATTGCCACTCCACGAGCACAATGACGCTGTCGTGAAACGATTACTTTCGAACCACCTTATCGAGGAGATACATCACCGAATTATCCTTCAGCACTATAATGAACGCCGATCAAAACCGTCTAGGGCTGCCGCCCGCGCACAAAGGTGTCGTAGAAGCTGAGCTTCTCATAATCAAGATATATTTCAGCAGGCCGCAGAACATTTCGTTTCCCTCTTAAGCGAAGAGCTCGTCAAGAACGCCCCCAATGCGTGTGTCCTCAGCCGCCATCGCCAAGGCCATTCTCAAAACCTCAATGCAAATCTTCCGCTCTTAGGAATGATGGTTTTCCGTTTGGTCACTCGATTCTTTCTTCTGTGCATTCAGCACCTCGCTTCCGAAGATCAGCTGCGCGGATACAGGCTGGACTCGTCAAAGGTTTCCAATTCACTGCTGATAGCATCAGAATTGCACTCGCTTAGCTGTGTGGTTTGGGGGTAGTATAAATGCTCTCGGATATGATCAGCTTCGACAGCGACCCCTGCTCATCGTCGAAAGAGATCTCACCGTCTGCGACGATGCAAATAGAGTCAAATGTCTCAAGGGATAACGCTTTCAAATCCTCCTTCCCGGTGTAATAGTTCAGTTTCCTCAACCACAACGCCTCTTCTGCTACTCCCAAGCACCTCGCTGAAATCGCAAAGCTTCGAGCCCCGCTACAACATCTGCGATAGAGTCGAAAGCATACCTCATGTCGAGTTGCCATCCGCAGGACAAGATTTCTTCACTGCCTTCGCTTGGGTGACCTCTGGCGTTCGCAGCCTGCATATAGGCATTTCCGGGAGGAAGGTGGACGGGGCATAGAAGTTGTGATCTGCCGCATGAGAAAACATCTAGTCGCATTCGACAAGAATGTGATCGTCGACGGGATTTAGCACGAACTTGCCGTTCTTGCGGTGACCTTAATTCCACAGGGAATGGCATCCGGAGAGCGGATACACACATCGACCAGCTCGTCCAACACTGGCAAACCTTGTGATTTACAAATCCGCTTTTTCGTACCCTAAAGAAGTCTGGCCGGACTTATGCTAGGCCCAGCAGGCGAGCGCATCAGACTGTGAGGAGAGTGATCACATCTTTGGCCAACGTGGTCTTTATCAAATCGCTGCTTACTTGCTTGGCCCAAAGTTCGTGCTCAACATCGTGGATCTCCACGACAATGTGGCCCTTGGGTCTCCACGACAATGCTGCGTTCACTACCTTGACAGGATTTTTCTGATGAGAATAACCGCGAGCTCCTCAATTTCATCGGCTTCATGACTCTCGGCTTGTGTGATTACGGCCCGAACGGAGTCTACTGAGGACTGGCGGAGGAATTTAATGTCGTAACTGATGCCGCAGCTGAGTGTGAGGTGTATGTCGAGTTTGTCAATGTTACAAAGCTTGATTCCGACCTGCACTTATTTCATCTCCATTGCCGTGACCACTGTGATCTTCCCCACGGTCACGCTGTGTTTGTGAGCAGCATACAACAATGCAAAACTCTTCGTCTTTATAAACAAAAAACCAAATTCTCCGTTATTCATCTCGAGACAGATTAGATCAGGAGCTCGCTTTCAGGTTTATCCCCACCGTCTGGTCAGAACGACAGATAAATCAATCCTTTCAGACGCTTGTGGCACTTACTGCCAAAACATCAGACAAAATTCGAATGCTCTATTTGTGCTACTCCAACGTTGTCTGCATAGCAAGGATTTCCCGCTGCAATGCATAATATTCAAAATACTCCCACGACCTAAAGAATTTTTTCCCCCCGCAGTTTACAGAAATGTCACGAATGACGACTCGAGCTGCGCTCCACTCAATATTCTCTCTCAAACAAGCGATACATTCCATCTGATTGGAAAAAAAAAAACAGAAAAAAAAAGAGAGAAAAAAACACTCCAATATCTTCGCAAATGCTCGCTCTTACTTCTCCTAACTCGACACCGATCTCTCACAGGATCACGCTAACAAAACCACACTACCTTATTCTAAACCTGATTCCTACCAAATCTCGTGAAACCTCAAAGTTGGCATTGACATCAAACCCTCCACGCGCAATAATAATAAAATTCAGCTCGAAATTGTTATGGCAGTACCTTCCTCACATGCATCCCCTTTTCCAGATGCTGATAAATATAAATATAAATATATGTATACATCAACAACCACCGGCCATGGCCACACTCCTTCCGCAAATGCACCACCATACCGTAGCTCACAAGCTCTGCAGCTTACGTTTCTTTCTTCCATGCGGAACTCTGACGCACCGAGTCGTGGTTGCAGCAGCCTGAGCTCATGGGCCGGCACCTCCCCATGGTGGGATCGTGCAGGGCGGAGTGAGGATTGGCGGCGTCGCGTGCGGGAGATGGCGTCGACGTCATAGACGGAATAGTGTCTATCGTCGGTCCAAAGCGCGACAACGGAGCCGCGCCGACAATTGAATCGTATTTGTTTGTTCTGCCCCCGATGCCCGCTCACCGGGAGAACCGGCTTTAAGTTACAGAGCATCCGGTTGTAATTGCTTTATTACCGGTTTCCCGGTCGTCAATTCGGTGCGCTTGGAAACATAAAAAACCAAGTTAATATTCAGAATAAATTCATGAGCAATCCATACAATGCATTTGTCGCAACTAATAGCTCCAATCTGATTATGTCCATAAAACTAGATAAAAGTAGATAAAACTTTTGAAACATATATATCATTCAATTTTTTAAATATGTATTTTTTATATAGACATTCTAATTATGTATGTTTGTTTGTTTGCACTCACATAATTGATTGGTTATACTAGATTTTTAAAGTAATTAAAACATTATAAACCAATCTTGGATATATGTTTCAATTGTTACTTATATATATAGAGAGAGAGAAAGAGAGAGAAAATAAAACTATGCACCAACAACCATTTTTATTTTTTAAAATTGGCCATATAAATACATATAGAGAAGGTATAATGCTACATCTCCAATTGATATTGCTACACCCCATGTGAGCTCCTCATAGAAAACTAGGTAATAATATGCCTTTTTCTTTTGTGCATTTTTCCTTTCTATGTTTTGAGAAAGAATGGTGGTTGAGAGGGACAATAAATATTTTATGAATAAAGAGGTCGTAAGTTATGTATATATGTATATATATATATATATATATATATATACACGTTTGTCTTAAAAATTGTTCAAATCAGTTTTTTTTTTTTTTTTTTTTTTTTTTTTTTTTTGGCTGCCAAAAATACTAAAAACTTATTTTCTGATTTATTTGATTTTGATTTAGTAATAAGTTCATCAGAAAATAAAACTACAAATATTAAAACATAAGATATTATGGATTAGTTTAAAATAATAAAATAAAATAAAAATCTATTATATATATATAAAATTGGATTGTGTATACATGTACACTCATTAATTGCTATTTAAGTTTTAATAAAAAAAGCTATAAATTATATTACGTAATGTGCATTTACAATAGATTGTGTTGAAATAGATAAAGTTATGTAGAAATGTTTGTTGAGATTTTGACAAAATAATTATAGATACTAGACAAGAGAATAAAGCACGAAATGTTTTTAAAGAAAAATTATTTGACCTTATTTCTTTAGATTATGTGTTGGTTACAATAACACATATAAAAAATAAATTGCAACAAAAGATCCAATTTATCTATTAATTAGTAGGCTTAAAATACACAAAATTATAAGATAATAAATAACTACAATTAAAAAAATATCAAAGGAATAATAATAATAATAATAATAATAATAAATTATCAAAATTTTGCTACATCAAAAGTATTGCTTGGTGTTATAGAGAATTGCATTGCAATTACTTTAATTTGGAAATTTTTTATTACTTTTAATTTTCATTAAGATCAAAATAAAAATAGTAATAATAATATTATAAAATCATAGCTTGGAAAATATGTCACAGCAAGATTTCCAAAAATAGAAACTTAACAACCACATCATTTCTACCATACTCATTTTAAATTTAATAATTAAATTAAATTAAGAATAAAAACCAAAATAACATTAAAATATGTCATGACATGCTTGTTGCTTATGGTGGCGAACATTGACTCTGCAACCACATCACATTCAGAAAACTCAAGATTTATGCACCCAATTAATTAAAAACTATATTAATTTAAATGAAAGTTCACCACAACAACCTCTCTACTCATGGCAAACAGATGGTAACATGAACTCTAACTAGATTATCATCAATACATACAATTTTTCTCAAAAGCTTAACCAATTGCATGTACATACACTGCATCCTGCTAATCTTCCCACACCAAAGTCTGCACTGTGTAATAACCCATTGCATCTAAGGTTTTGCTTCCATCACAATTTCAGCAAAACATTGAGGGTACAGGTTTGATTGGAATTGAACTATGCAAAGGTTTTATTGGATTGGAATGAGGGCACAGATGATCATGCAAGATAAAACCAGTAAAATCTCAAAGGAAAACATTTCCATACTGAAATTGTAGCATAAACAATCTTCACCTCGCTTCCGTGAACCTCTGCAAGCAAAATGGAGCCAAAAATAGAATAAATTACAACAACCAGCGCTGCGTGTGTGCTTTTGTTAAAAAAAGAATTATAGACCCAAAATCATGGATTTTCATTTGACGTTGGTGTCTACTGTTGCTACGGAGGCATTGACCAAGGAATGCCCTAATGAATTTGGCATCTACAAAACCATTGTGAATTCCACAACAAGCTAGCCACTAACCAAGTACACTCATGCCGCTCCAGTTCGTATTGTTCGTAGTAGTTTTCTAACAAAATCAGGGGGAGGGGGAGGGCTACCTCACTAGTAGGGGGGTCATAAAAGCGATCAATCCGACATCTTTGATATCCTAAGCCACTTTCAGTATCACTTACTATCTCCCATGTACAAAGTCTCTTCATAATGATCCTCAAAAGAGTATATATTCACCCGGCTTAGTTTTGCCTTTTTTTGCTGCTTTTTCTTCATAATCTCCCTCTTCGGCGTAATTTGTTTTCAAGTTTCCAGATCGTTGTTGTCCTACTAGGGCTTTACAATCCCCTCATCTCCCTCATGCTGTTGTCATCCAACCCGAACTCCAACCGAGACCCAAGCACCGCTGTCGTGCTCGTCAAACACTTCGCAAACTCCATCCCCGATGCCTTGCTCGCGTACTTCATCATCTCAGGCTTCCCAGGCCGAGGCATCTCCATCGGCTTCGAGAAACTCTTCTGCATTGTCTCCAAATTCTTCGATCCATACCCACCTCCATACTCCGATTTCACGTGCTCCCCACTCGAGCTCTTCGCTCCCGCCACCTTCTGGTTGTTCGTCTTCTCTCGCAACGGTGTTGCCCCGTGCATGGACTGCTGCTGCTGCACCCCATGCCCTCCCGTCTGCTGAATCCGCAACTCTCGCTCTCGCCTCATTTCCAGCACCTTTTTGTGCGAATGGGAATGCTTCGACGCCACGTAAGTGGGAGATCCCGCAGGTCGGTACTCCGGAAGCAGCCTTCCAGACTTGTATCGCACCCCGCAAGCATTGCACAATGTCTTGGGTCCCATGGGCCCTGTCCTCCACTGCGGTGTGCGCTGGGTTTGGCAATGCATGCACCGCCACGGCTGCGAATTGTCTTGATTTTTCTTTCTCCCTTTGCTGGCATTACTGTGAAAGTTTGCGCTGATGTTGTCCTTGCTTTCACTCTGGCTGTGGCCATCATTCGTCACCTTGTACCGCTTGGAGCCTTGCGAATCCTCATCGTCTTGCTCAACAACATCCACCGTACTGTCGCCACAGCCATCTGACGACGACACAATTGGATTGTAAGACATGGCGTACGAGTCAGCTCCCATCGATTCGAGGCTATTCACAGAGGAGCTGGTGGATAGAATTCTTGATGTCCATATCTTTGCGCCTGTCCTTGACCTTTTGCTTCGTGCTCTTCCAGGCACGCATACATCCCTGTAATCTGGTGAAGTGAGTTCAGAAGAAGTTGCACTCGTCTCCAAGACTGAAGTTGGGCTTAGTTTCTGATAGGGCTGGTACGAGTCACTCAGTTTCATGGTGGGTGTTCGGTCGCCATTGCCTAATGCGGACGGGAATCCGCCATATGTTGAAAACACCTCTGGTGTGTTAACCACCGTAAACGAATCTTCCACAAACGATGAAAGCCACTCGAGGTCGGCAAGGTCATCACACTGCACAAACACGAGCAATGCATGTTGAGTTACAAATCAAGCATTTGGCTGCGAATGTGTCAAGTACTTTGATTCAAGAACTCGATGGTCCTCTTTAGGTGAAATTTTCGGCCACACTACAAGGAGCACATCACACAAAGTACATTGTTAATGCTCCAATCGTCTTTAAAAATGTTCACAATTCCGACGTTCGTTCCAAAGCTTCCCCGTCATGAGCCTCTGAAGCAATGTGAGGCTGAAGGTTGAAGGAAATCCCACGTTTCTAAATGCCTTAAATATGTCCTTTCGAATACTAAGGCCTCATTGCCATGTATTCAATGCGGCTCCGTGCACATTGACACTCAATGTGACATCAGCCATCCCGAAAAGTGAAATACGAACCCGTGGAGAACCAAAAAATTCTTTCAGGGTTAATTGCATTATTATCACACAACGACTGGCATTCAGGTACGTGCATGAGCACGGAAAATTGACACTTACTGGCACGCAAAGGTCTGTCTTGACTTCAATGTCCTCCAATGCGGGCTCTAGTGTCTCGTTCTTAGCTTCAATAGGAGAAGATGAAATACTTGTCTCACCACCAATCATAGAGCTCTCAGTCGTCACCCCAGACAGCGGCAAATGACCCCCCAATATGGGGCCCCCGATATCGTCGCAACTGAAGTCCAGCAGATCATCAATGTGGAAGACCTCCGGGATAGAGGGCTTGTCTATCTCCGGAAGCCCGTACGATCCGAAGGGGCCCGCAACCATGTAAGGAGAAACCATTGTCGTTAAGCCAACGAAAACCTTTCCACAACACTAACCAGTTTCCTTGTGTACGCAATGACACTAACTTCCCACTCTACACGCTCGGACGAGCTTTTCAGTACTCGGCTCGCATTGCGTGGTTCGATTCCCTGTAGAACTGTACTTAATCGGATTCGAAACAAGCATGTGGAACTTCTATGCTCCGATTCCTGTACTCTACACCACCTGCTTCAAGTGAGTTCCACTCTACCTCAGACCACATGCACTTCAGCGCACACGCTTCTCATCATTCATGTACACTACAACGCAAGCTTTCGCACCTCTATATCTTTCTCCTTTTTTTTTTTTTTTTTTTTTTTTTTCTTTTCAATTGTTTACGACAACATGCATTCCCAACCTCCCTGAAGAATGCTTGGAGCACAGAATTCAAGAGCAACTGTTGTTCTTTTTTTAATTTAAAATTGATTAAGCTGCAACGTCAGCAAAACTATTCCAAGTGTAACTGCAAAACGTGCCTTCAGTTCGATTTATATTGAACCTTCAAACGAGAGCAGCTCTTCTTTAAGTCAAGAAGACAGACTGATATATATACCACATGTACCACACTACGCCTATGCAGAAGATCGGCAGCGTCAACGAGATTACAATGCGGAAGACAGCATAAAGCACAAGCTAAACCTCTCTTGCAACTCTCTATAACCAAAGCGGAAAATTCTTCTGCCTCGCCGTCATGAAAAACACATTACACAAAGACTCCGCCACACAGAAATACACACTCGCTTCACTGGCACGGGCCTGTGGGGGGAGGGACGGACTGAAGGACCTACTGCCCGACTGACTGACTGATACACTGGGTCCGCCACCTCTCTTGCGAATCCCCCCAACTCAGCCCATCGTTGGCTCCTGCTGCTGCTCCTAATACCGAAGGCGAAGGGTGGCACCAAAAAGCAAATGGGCCTGGAAACTCGCGAAGAAGTTGCTGCTTATTTTCCGCCCCGCATTGCCTGACAAGGGCGGAACGGGACTGGCCCCGGGGTTCAGTGGGGCTCCACGCTGCAGCAAAGCGCGTGATCATGAAGAGAAGCAGCGCAAAGAGCTCTTACAACAATAGCCTGTTCCACTTGCCACCTCCCCGCTCGACCTCCTTACGTTTCTAAGTGCAGCCACACGGCCCTCCTCCTAAATCAGGCAAAGCTCCGTCCCCTCTGCCCACTCACAGCCGAATCCCTCCTCTCCCCCTCCCCTTCCTCTCGTTGAATAACCAACCCATCCCCGGCTTTCACGTTTCTCTACTTTCACATCTCATGTGGGTTATTTCCCTCCTCATCCGTGGTGTGATTTTGTTTTAATCTCGCGGGTCTCTATCATTCTTCTGCTCCCACGCCATTCAGCTTTCTTTTTACTGTGCACTTTGCCGTCCTACCCTTGTGCCTGTGCACATAGCCAGCACACATCCTCCCCGAACCCACCAAACTTACAGCCCCACTTCTCCTCCCTCTTGCTTCCTTCCGCTACCGGCCCCTTGTCGGATCTGGTGCTCCTGATCCTCCTCCTCTCTAGCTCCTCGGGTTCACGGATCGCTAAGACCCACGCCCTGCTGCTCGCCTCCCGAATCGCGCGGGTATCGTAAGTGCACGATTGGCATGGCAGGGTAAGCTCTTCACTGCACGACTTCGTGGCACGCTCTTATATTTGGTTGTGACCATGGTGTACGAGAAAGTATATTGAAATTCGTGGACCCCCTCCAATTCAAAACTTTTTCTTCTACATCCCCTGTATTTATATGTGTGTATTGTTTTAAACCTCTTGGTTACTTTATTCACATGCATGTTGTGTGTGTGTGAGTTGTGGCCTTGTAACATTTTTTTGATATATTGTTGTCTCATTCTCTTGAATTCTGCTTGGGTGGAATGCCTTCATCAAATAGGTACAAACACAAAACACCACCCAACCCCTCTCTCACCCCTTGAAGAAAAGTCCCCTTCATGACAGAGAGGCTCCGCCCACTGTCCCTCATCCGGGCAGAGGAGGAGCATTCAGTGGATGAGGGAGGGACAGCAGGAACATTTACAAGCTTCACTCAAACTCCCAAGCAACTCGAAGGAGACAGAATGGATGCGTTTCACATGCAGAAATATCATCACCAAACATCTAATTTAAACCCCAGCGCGGACCGTTCCTCATTCTTTATTACATAGTAACCCATGCGCACACGGACACAAAAGTTGTTAACGAAAACCCGAGGAAGACGGTGCCAGAAACGAAGAAATAAATACTAACAATTAACACAGCCCTAAAATGTGGAGCACCCCAAACTAATCTGAAAGCCAGAATGCTCATTTTTGCCAAAAACCCGCCCCAGTGATGTCCGGGTCTGAACTAAAAAACCCAAATTCTTACCCACATTCATTGTATATTTCATATACTTGTAATTGACACCCCGACTTCAATTCATAAGAGATAATTTACTACGCGGAGCAAATAATTAGGTAAAACTGGAGTATACGTACAAATGGTCAGCTTTATGAGGGAGAGACATGACTGGTCGCGACAGGGATAATCTGAGTAACACGCACCCCCCCCCACCCCCAATTAAAAGAAACCCCTATAGACACCACCACCTTCACGTGGCTCGAGTTTAAGTTTCTTTATTGATCCCGCGTGGTCTCGTCCCTGGTTCTGAGCAGCGCCTCTCCTGCGGAACTCCCTTCGGAACGTCGAGGATCCCATGGGTAGCCACGCGCGGCGGATGGAGCGAACACCGTGGAACGCGATGGAACGGCGTCGAGGAAAACAGCCCCGTTGCGGCAGAGAACATGCGCGGCGAATGGCTCTGACACACTACTAAGCACCACCACCACCACCACCAGCATGCTTGACACCCGGGATTACCACGTGAGGTTGAATAGCTTCGGCCCCGCTAATGTTGGTTTAGGGATGAGAACGGGGAGAATGGGCGATCCCTAAAACCAACACTAACTTGCAGGTGTGGATTATGGCACAGGGCTGAAGCTTGCGAATTCTTCACCGTGGGGTTCAAAATTGACGGTGAAGAAGAGTGATGTAGTGTGGCTTTGCAAGGGTGTGTGTCTATTTAACCCACGAAGTTGGAATAACTCGAAGGCTTGTGGGAGATTTGTTCATTTCTTCCAGGAATACGTGAGTCAAAGTTTTCCATGGTGAAGCGTCTTGTGGGACCATGGAATGAAAAGTACCACTATGGCACACATCCCGAAGATGAACAGCAGTTTGGTCGCATAACAGCGCGAGATGGAAAGTATGGTGATTGGGTTCGCGAGCCGCTGACTGACCCATATAGCACCGATTAAAATCGTCTCTCGTACAGAAATTCTGACGACCAGAAATGGGAAGTAGCAGTAGTGTCGATTGTGTTACTTTTCTCGGAGCTGATTTTTGTAAGTATTTCACGGAGTGTTTGGTTTCAATTTTCGTAGCTGCTACACACTTAGTTTCAACTGTAACCTCAGCTAGGTTAAGATACTTTGGAAATCAGAGAAAGGCGCAGATTGTCAGCCCTTGATTTTCTGCGAGGATGGGTTAGATTGCGGCCGACCCGAGATGTACTCCAGCACCGCTTCGGCGGGAGGTGCCTATTTACTCCTCCTCCTCCTCCCGGGGAAGGGAGCGAAACTCCTGGCAATCTGGCGGGTTTCTAGAGAAGGGAGGGTGCTGCAATTGTAAGCTTTCTAAACTAGGGTTCCTAGTTCGGCTGTGCTTGAGGAAGTTGTGATACCACTGCTGGTATAGACTAGCACAGAGTCAGATGGTTGTCTAGGAGTATCTCGGCTGAAATCTCCCATGTGCCCACACCCCCCCCCCCTTTGCCTCCTTGTTGGGCCATTCGGCAGCTTTACCACAGCCTGCGTTCCAAATTTCAGCATGTCGAAGACTGAGATATTGTTCCCCGCTTAGGAGGCCCCCGCAATCCCCACGTTCGTTTGAAAATCGATCGTCTAAAGTCTCCAACCGAATCTCCAATTCCAATCCCTCGGAATCTGTTTCGTGCGCGAAAAAACGATTCTCCTCCATTTAGTTGACGTAATAGTTGTCAAGTTGACCAAACTTTCATCCCAGCCCCTTGTGTCACTGGACATCGAACCCCAGTTGCACAAGACCGGTACCAGTAGACTACCAGGATTAAAAGGAAGGCAGAGGAATAATTTAATTTTTTTTGTGAGCACTGAATTCCAGCTGGGTTGGTAGAAAACCCGTGAATCATTTTACTGCAGGGTCAGAAGGAATCTGAACTGACTCTTCTGAAATGGCATTAGTAGGGGAAGAGTGGCGATGGGAGTCAGCTCAATGCCAGCTACCCTATTTACGCCAGCCCACACTGCTCATGTGGAGACTGCTAATGCCGCGTTCTAACACATGCATATTCTTGCCCCCCCATTCTTCTCACACTCCTTCCTCTGCCATTCAATGTGCTTATCATGAGACTCCTGTCCCGCTCCCGACGTCCGTTCGAGAGTATCAATGTTTTGGCAACTCCTCAATTATGTGACATGTTTTTACGGGGATATTCTCAGACTTGCAGAGCTGCTGCTTTTAAAAGGAAGTCCAGGCCCCTTCCATTTCCTGCGTGTGCCAGCGTAAACCTTGGCGAGCGGCCGTGGGAAGCTATAGCTCTGGCAGAGTGGCTAGATGCCAACCTAGGTGATGAGGTCGAGTGAGTGAGTGGCTGCCGGGGAGGGGTCGATGACTCTGTCCTCCACCGGGAATAGAAATCCCCCGATGCGGTCCAATTGAAATCAGCAATTGCCGCACTTGGCTGCTTCTGGACCCAAATCCTCTCCGCCTCCTTCCTCCCTCCCTCCGAGAACGAGATCCTTCCTTCGTTGCTTGCGTGCTTGATTGATTGCTTGCTTGCTTGCTCGAAGTCATAATGAGCAAAGAATTCGGCCTCCTAAGTTGGTCTAAACTCACTCCTTGCATCATTTCAATTTGTCCGTGGGTAGGTCAGAGCGGCTTGAATACCCCACGCTTCCTCCTCCGCTCCGCACTAAAAACATCCGGAATCCTATTCAACATTAAGGTCCTCTGTTACGAGGGTATAGAGCTCCCTCCCTCTCGTGGGATGCGGATGAGGGGTATATAGTAATGTCTGAATGCAGCCTTCGAATAGTCCGAAGCCAAATTGATGGCCTTCTGTGGCCTAACTCTACTTCTTTCTATTCAAATACTTTTATAAAAAAAAAGTAGTTTAATCACTTAAGAAACTGTCGCAACTTGACCCCTAACGAAGTACCAGCACTCGTTGTTGTTGTTGTTGTTGTTGTTGTTTTTTTTTTTTTTTTCCTCAACATCAAAAATCTATTTTAGTGTTTCAAGTGGGATTCGACAGCGTATCCTGAGGGAGAGTTTGAATGCGAAATAGCTTCATCTCAAAGGACCATGCCCTTAGCACATGACCGCAGCAGCTACGATGTCAGAGCGTCACCCATTTCCGTCCCACGTCACCACCCCGACGTCCGTGCAGCCAGTGGTGGTAAGATCGATTGCCACGTTGGATAATGTGCCACTTGGCAAGTCGAGGGGTTGGTCCAATGAGAGGCCGTGGAAGTGGATGGGGCTGTCAGAGGGCTTGTGGGCCACAGAAGTGGACCCAGGCCAGTAAGTTTATCCTTAAATGGGAAGTTTCCTGATGGGTCCCTCCCTTCTACCCCTCACCCAAACTCTTCAACTGCCACCTTTTAAAGATTTCATTTTATTAATTTTTCGTCGTTTTACTTTATGGAAAAGTATGGACTTGATTTGATATCAGAGCTGCATTGACAACCAGGTTAAACTCAAGAGATGTCAAGAGGGACCTCATTTTGTGTTATTTTAGAAGAATGCAATTTTTTCGATTCTATATTTACTTAATTACAATGTTTTAAAATGCTTGCACTTATTATATAAAAGAAATTAGTATACAAAATGCTTTGCAATGACCTTAAACAACTTGATGATGTCATGTTAATTTTAAGAAGTTGGCAATTCAAACCTCAATTGTAAAATTGTTTGTGTTGCTTAATGGATGTTAGCACATAGATAAGACTTCTTTGATATTTCAATATATGTATATAAAAGAAAAAAATGCCTCTTATGGAAGCAATGGTGCCACCTACAAATTAACTTTTGTTAATATTGTCTTGGGTTAAAATTGCCAATTTTAAAAAATTGCTTTGAAGAATACA